GTTGGAATTGTTTGGTAACCACCGCGTGGAGTGCTAAAGATTAACTGTGATGGAGCAAAGCTTTAAGAGACAAAGGAAGGAGCTTTTTCTGTTTTGGCTCGTGACCATGAAGAACGTTTTATCTTAGGTGAGGCTCAAAGACCGGTGGCATCATCCGCTTTGGTAACCGAAGCCCATGTAATTAGGAGAGCATGTAAGCTAGTAGTGGAGCAAGGTATGATTGAGTAGTTATAGTTATTGAATCTGACTCGAAACAACTCATTAACTCCCTGCGTAGAGGATGTGTGGATTGCCTATAGGAGATTGCACTTATCCAGCAAGATATCAAGAACTATCCACTTTCAGGGGATAGATGATGTACCAAGAGTATTGATGGGTATCATTAAGCAAGAAGCTAGAGTTTGAATAGGTTAAGTGCAAGAGTATGTAATGGCTGATGGTTATGTTTTTGTTTAGTTAATGAAATTATATTTTCTTGACCAAAAAAAAAAAAAAATTGCCAACACCCACGAAGAAAATATACATTGCTTAGCGTGCACCATGTATGACTACCATATGATACCCACCCCTAATAAAAAACAGCCACAAAAATTATTTTGCAAGTCGCATGGTGACAATTAAGACTGATAATTGAGTCGAATCTATTAAACTCGTTCTTTTAAACGAGTCTAAAAAATTATTCAAACATGACTCGTTTAGAAAATAAGCTGAGCATAAATCGAACTCAAAACAAACCGAGTTCAAATAGCTCAACCATATTACATACAAATGAGCTGAGCTTTGCAAAATCAAGTCAAGCCTTTTAGGCTCATTTTCTAAACGAGCTTAAAAAATTGTTCAAGATCAATTCGTTTAGAACACGAACCGAGCCCGAGATGAGTCTTATCTAAACCGAGTCAAGCCCAACCCGAATAACTCGGCTCACTTATCAACCCCAGTGATAGCCACACAAAAATATACATATAACGTGCATTCCTACACGCCTTAGCTTAACACTACCATGTGATACCTATTAAGCACCGGATATTTTTTCTTATTTAGGCTTTTGCATGTATTTTTGAAAATGTTCTTTCTTTCAATCTCAATGGATAACTCAAGTGATAATATGGACAAATTATAAACCCAGGAAACCTAAGTTCGAATTTTGACAATTTTTTTGAGTCAAGCCACGAGGAATGAATTTATCCACCATGAATACCTTATTCCCAACATAGATAACCTACCTTTAATTGGAACGGAGAAAAAATTAATTGAGGTGCACATAAAGTTATCCAAATAACTTGAACATTGAACCAAAAAAAAAAGAGAAAGTGCTCTTGTTTTTAACTTGGGGAGATAATTCACCCAGATTTGTGTTTCTTATCTGATACCATTTGTTGATTCAATTTACCAATTAAATTGGAAATTGAAAATATTTCCCAGTATTCAAACTAATGAAAAGAAACAATAAGACCAAACCACCTTAAAAATTAATCAGAGATAAAGAGCACATTATCGAAACACTTCATAAGGCTATTTACTAGGGAGGAAAATACCTCCACAATAGTAATTGAGGAAGAACTCCAAATCAAACTACTTAATAGTGACAAATATGAGATAAGAGTTTACCTGTCTCTCATGAGAAATAACTCAATAAGAAGACCTCCATTTACGGTGTGTTTGGTAGGATGAATGAAAAAAAAGAAAAGAAAAATAGAAGTAACACACTTTATACCCTTCAATAAAAGAAACCTTCCTCTCTCTCTGTGTTAGGTACGAATAATTGATTTTTTATTTTTTTTTCTTGTTTGATATGAATGAAAAAGTGAAAGGAAGAGGGAAAAAAAACATGCATATTTTGCTATTATATCCACATAATATATTCATAGTATGTCAAAGATAAATAGGACATATGTATGTATCTATATATATATATTAAAAGGATAGAGAGTGAATAACCTACACTTCCAACACACATACAATTGATAATGTCATTATCACCCAAGAGGAGGCATGTAATAAAGGTAGATTAGAGCAACAGACCTAAATAGATTTCAACTTGCCCCAATCCTGGATAAACACAATAACGTGTGTGGTGTGGTGTGGTGTGTACGTGGAAAAAATAGGGCAACCTGTATAAAGGAAGTCACAGCACGGACAATGGAGAGGTCTGAAAGCCTCTAAAAGAGTGGACCTGAATAACACCTCCGTTTTTTTGTAGATGATATTATAATGTTTGTTCTCAAGGGCATCAGAGCAAGGTTGTTACACCTACTCTACAAGTGAGTAATCACACAGAAATTAATGGAAACTAGGGATGGATATGGAAATTAGAGAGGTACAACAAAAACTGAAATATTTCCTGTGGCTCATTCAGAATGATAGGATCATATCAATCTACCTGAAAGTCACAAGAAATATTGTCAGTGTTGCCAGTTCCAACAGGTGTAATGATCATCCAGAAACAACTTATCCACGTACTAAGAGACTGTAAAAAAGCACAGGCAGTTTGGGGCAAATTCCTGGACAATAAGAAAAGAACCTCAGACAAAGACCCATGCCTAAATNAGTCAGTGTTGCCAGTTCCAACAGGTGTAATGATCATCCAGAAACAACTTATCCACGTACTAAGAGACCGTAAAAAAGCACAGGCAGTTTGGGGCAAATTCCTGGACAATAAGAAAAGAACCTCAGACAAAGACCCATGCCTAAATAGTTGGCTCAATAGACATTTCCAGAATAGAGACCAGAAAACATAGAGGGGACTTAGGTGCCCTCAGATTTTCATATCCATCCCTTTGGAGTATATGGAAGGGTATAAACATAGAAATAGAAAGTATAAAAAAGATAGAGACTCCTTCATTACATTGTGGGAAAAACATGGTAGGCAGTTGGCTTTGGAAGTATGCAAAGCTTTAAAAAGTTAAAGCCAACAGACAACCAAAACCAATAGCTGTCTTTTCCCAAATGCGGGATTGTTTAAGCTGAACACAGACGGAGCTTCAAAAGGAAATCCAGGACTAGAAGGCACTGGAGGATTAATCAGAAATGATCAAGGTCTCTGGTTAACTGGATTGTATGGCAGATTAAACCCAACAACCAGCCTCAAGGCCAGACTATGGGCTATAAGTCAAGGCTTGGAGTTGTTCAAAAGAGACGCTGAAGTTGAGGTGGAAACCGACTCCCTGGAAGCCTATAACCCACTGCCAAGTGATTAGGAAAACAGCCATCCATGTGAAGCTCTCATGTAGAACCACACACATCTGCTAAGCAGAAGTAACATCAAGATCATACATATCCTTGGAGATGGGAGACAATGTGCTGATGGATTGGGCCAATCTGGGAGTGAACCAATTCAAAGGCTTAGTTGAACTGGATAAGCCCCAACTGAGATAAATTAGAAGTCTGCTAAACACAGAACTTGCTAGCGTAATCGTTGTGCGAGTCCCAGGTGACTCTTTAGTTCTCAGACTTCCAGAATCTTCCAATGTAAGGAAAAAAAACAAAGAACATAGACCGCTGCTAATCTAATCAACTGCTGCAACGTCAATAATTTTCTACGGGTTCAAGCACAATATTCCAATGTGACGATGTTAGCCAATTTTTTTTTAAATAACAAATTTACCCTTCGCCTATACATAAGTCTTGTACCCAAATACCCTTATTTTTTTATCAAAGAAAACTAGTCCTACAATTTTATCTTTCTTCATGTCTCACATACTAAGTATCTCACGCGCACACTCATGCACACACAAAAACACGTTTGTCCAATTTGTAAGCTAGGGAAAATTTTATTCTTCACCACCAACTACAATGCAAATTACACCCCTTGAATGTTAATTTAGTATGAAATTGATAAAAGTTAAAATTTTAATTTGGCATTAAATTAATAAAATTAATGTTAATCTCATGAAATCAAATATAAAATTTATGAAAATTAAATGTTAATTTGATGAAATTCAATGTTAGTGGGATTAAACTGAATGTTAATTTTAGAAAATTGAATATTGATTTAATGAAATTAAATATCAATGTTAGTGTTAAATTGATAAAATTTGTGTTAGTGTGATAAAATTAATATTTGAATTGATGAAATTAAATATCAATTTGATAAAATTAAATGTTAATTTGGTGAATTGAAAGTCAACTTGGGGTGTATAACAACACCAATATAAATAAGGATGGATATCTGTTAACTCTTAAAACATCTAATTCTTATTTTATTATTGCTATTATATAATATATATTCGCATATAAATTGATGTATATGCATATTAATATAATATAAAAAAAGAGTTATTTTAACATTGGTCAAATAAGATTTTAATCTAAGGTCAAATTAAGTAATAAGTATAGAACAAAAGAAAGGAATATTCCGTGAGGTATAGTAATATCATTTACTATTTTCTATACAAAATCTGATAAGGGGTGACAGTAATATTTTAGAAACCATTGATGGTATACTTGTAATTAGGCCATTTTTCAGGTGGTGTCAATGAAATTTACCCTACTTTTTTAGGTTCCTCATTTTCTGAATATAGGATGGTTTCCATTTCCTTACTGCTGATTTGTTTATCACGGTTCAAAATAGACTGTCAAACTACAGAAATTACTCAAGGATCCAATGCATGATTGCTTTTAAATTAGAAAATTGTAATATTTTTGCTACAATGAATCAAGAAAGAATTAATCATTATTCGTTTTCTCAACTAATACATACAACAATAAAGCCGAACGCTACCTCTTTACCCGGCCTGCATGCTCTCCCCAAAATAGTTATCCAGCTGCGGAAGATATTTTGACCAACAAAACGTAATAAGGCGTAGTAGTGGCCACAAAGGTCAGGTCAGAAAAGCTGCTTAGACAACCTGGGAAACTGAAACACATTAGTACCCAGAGGAAAAGAAAGCACCCAGCCAAATAAGAGGTGTTGTGCCCCCACCTTATTCAGATTGTGGAGATCTACACTTCGGAAGAAAGGCCGTAATAAGAATCCAGGTTAAGCTTTAGGCAAATAGCAACTATGCCCAAAGAAGCCCATCAAAGCCCAATTCAGAATTTGAAACTGGACTGTCCCCTAAATCCGGGAGAATAATTGTTTGATTCTCTCCTACAGAATCCACGTATGGCTCCGAAAGATCAGAAGATCTTTCAGATGGAATCCCATAGTCTTTGAGAATGCGAGTGGATGCAGCCAAAGCCACCTCCCTTTCCAAAACAGCCACATAATTGTCTTCAAATTCAAAAACTAGATACTTGTCCTTGCATGCTGGGCAAATATCAATCAACTATGAAGGACCAGCAATTTAGGTAGGCAGAAGGAAATCAGTTGGTGAGATGTGAGCACTTACAATCAACGAGATGAGCTAGGTGATGTATGTTCTTTATTCGAGTTCCATTTAACTTCAAAACCTACCATTATTTAATCTTGAAATTCAGTTACATGAATCACCAATTATATTCAAAGTTGAGGTGGCAAAAAGTAACTTGCCTGCTCATTGCTCATATCTTCATAACCAATGTTAACTTCATTAGCTAAGACCTGTATGTGGAATTTCAGATTAGTGAAGCAAAATCCTAATAGTATTAACCAATGTCTGGCAATTTCGAGAATTGGAGTGTCAGGCAGAAACCAATTTTTTGTGGTGAGAGGAGCGAGAAGAGGGGATTGGGGGGTAGGGGTGTTAAGGCATAACAAAACCCAAGGCATTGTATTTGTGTAAAGGCTACATGTGCAAGTGAATCGCAGCTTGGTAGCACCAATGCTCAGCTTCTCATATAACTGAATGGAAAGCCGTGCACCTACCTGTGATAGGATCACAATCTGTTCTCCTTCAAACCTTGCCAAAGAGTAGCGTGCCTTCGCCAATAGTTTTAACTAAAACCAAAAGAGAACTAGTTAACTTCAGAATATACATAAATCAACTGGGTCACACAAGACCCATTGGAAGTATATCATGTTAATAGATATCATCGAGTAACTCGACTTACCCCTATGCTATCTTCGCACTCCTCACTACCAGCATAAAACACTATTTTAATATGATGAGTAGAAATTGCTGCATAATAAATAAAATTCGGCAATAATTTCACCATTGCTAAGCACAAAAATTTAGCAACATACTCTATTAGTGGTTCTGACAGAGGCGTAAATACCAATCCAGCGACTATCAAATAAGAAGGCTGCCCTCCTTCAATATGATATGGGACCTCGACGAAAAAAACAAAATGGATACAAATTCAGTATTCATAGAGGGGATCACAAAAAAAGAAGGAAAGTTATTAAGATTCACGTCATCACAGAACAAAATTACTGTTAGCATACCAAATGTACCCGTGGNAGGAAAAAAACAAAATGGATACAAATTCAGTATTCATAGACGGGATCACAAAAAAAGAAGGAAAGTTATAAAGATTCACGTCATCACAGAACAAAATTACTGTTAGCATACCAAATGTACCCGTGGATTTAATATCGCTTGAACTTTCATGAAATCCCCTGCTCTAATGATACCAAGCTCTGTAACATCACCTGCAAATCTGGACTAGAATATCCTTAGATCTAAAGATAATATTCAAATTCTTCTTCAAAATGGAAAAACACATCTTTTATGGACTGTGGGAAAAAATAATTCATAAGAGTGTGGGAACACTGTGCATGCACCTATTCCAACTTCAGCCTAAAAGAAGAAACAGCCTATTAGGAAGCATACTGTGCATTATCGTACAGATTACTCTCAAAAGGCATCGATGCTAAATGAAAAAGCAAGCCAAGCAGATAACTAGACAAAAAACCAAACTTGAATACTAGAACAAACTTGATTGCAGGGACCAGCCCAGTCCGCACATGACATTATTTAAGGTCCTCTGCAGTAGAACATTTAAGCAGTATCATATAAATAACTGTACAACAAAAGCAACTAGTATTATTCAATGGTATACACTCTTGAGTTCCCAGGAAAGCATAAACATGTAATGCACAAAATATTGCCAACTGTATAATTTCTTTGTACAAGGGTTGATCAGTGTAGGATTTACTTGAAAATGCGCAGTACAAATTTCAAATTCAATAAGAAACTTACTTTTGACTTATGAGGTAGCGAAATGCAATACGTTCAGTCGATCTGAATGGGACAGTCCCTTCACACCCCACATGAACTCCATCAAAGCTTACAATCACGTCCCCCTAGAAAAGCATGAAATTTACAAGTATTATTTCACCACTTGAATTAAAAATAATATAACTTTCCAACAAAAAGCTACAAGCCCAAGATTTTGCGGCTAGCTGACAAGGCAAAGAACACCAAAATTCATTTGAGGTTCACGGTTCACCATATATACAGAGGCAAGATTGATAACATGTAAAAGTAAAAAACTTAAAACCCCAGCAAACTATGTGAAATGCATCGTTTGAACCAGATTATGCTTCCATTCGACAAACTTACTATGCCAGTTTGCATGCTAAATATCAAGTTCGTCGGAATTGAGAGAGATCCCCTCCAAATAACACTCGAACTCGAACCTTACTTATATTTACGATGGAAGAAAAGTCAGTTCAGTGATAAGGTAGCTGCCTATAACCTGTCAAAACTTGAAGGTCATCACTCACAATAAGAACGGCGGGAGCATATATTCCGCTCAGAAAATCTGAGACCAGCGAACAGTTAATTGTATTATCTGGAAATAGCAATTCTTTCACCAAGTGACCCATATTTATGTGTGTAGTCATAATAAGAGACAATACACAACAGCTTCAGGAAATATTAAAGATTGTGCCAATCTGTGGTGAACTTGGCCCAGAAAGCTTCTAGGGTTAGGGTTTTATACAATAGAATGGAGGTTGCAAGCTTAATGGAAGGAAAGGGTCGCTTGCATTTCAAAGTGATTCTGCAATGAATTTCTATAAAAAAGCATGCCAAAACCCTCAAAGATAGAAAGAATTCCAAGGTTTTGGTGTTCATTGCACATCCAAAAGGCAGGGTAATGTGCTGGGGTTGATTGTGGATTTATTGGATGAAGTTTCCAGCTGAAACAGGTGCTCTGCTTTGTGCCTGTGATAGTGTTGGTTCCTCAGTTATTTTGTCATGAGGCCTGAGTTTTTTATGTTGGGAAGGTTTGGGCTTTGTAAAGCAAAGATGTCTGGGATGAAAGGAGAATGTTTGAGGGTCTGAACCGTCTGGTAGCATGAACAAAAAAGTATTAAAGAGAATGAAGAAAATGAGGACAAAAAACCTAAAAAAACCCAACTTTAATTCCCAAACAATCACTTCCCATGACAAGGCCAAATAAAGAATCACAAATGCTTCACAAGTTCCCAAAAACTCAATTCATTCCTTACTACCATTTAATTGAAAGGATAATAGGATTATGACTCCACAATTAGGAGGTTACGGACTTGCTTTGTATCTAGTAAGACCATTCTAGGTCATCTACGACTCAAACTAAAATGCAAATAACTAAATTTATCCCAAATTAGAACCAATCAACTATGGATACTACCCCTGTGCAACAATTATCGAAAAGAATAAAATAACCTTCATTACAAATACCTAACAAGTATAAATCCAACAGCTTACTAATCCAAAACTAACACCTAAATCATAAATATTACTCTAAACCTTATGCCCATGCATGAAGTACCATAATCCCCCTTTTATAGTATAGCCTGCATCAAAAGAGATGCTGGAATCAATGTTGATGTGATGTAAGAAGGCTTCAAAAATTTACACCCAAAATGACAACATTACAAAAAATCTAAAAGCACTGTTTTTTGGCTTAATTTTAGCAATTACAAACAAATTTACCTTTATAGAAGGAATGTTCTATATAGGCAATAATCCCAAACCTTTTCTACTGGTTTACATTGACAAGTGTGGATAAACCACATAAAGAATGTCCAGTAAACTCTCAGGGATACAAATGGAGGCATACCTCCTTCAAGACATTTCTGGCATCAGATGTGGGCTCAACTCTCCGAACAAGAACACCCTGCACAGACGGATACCACGGCAAAAATTCAGCTGAGAAGGAGAACATAACTCGCTTCACAAGATAAGAATAAGGTGCTATACAGAATATTCTTACAAGCTTTACCATGAGATGCCCAATATTTCCCAAGGCACCCCGAATCTAGTCCAGGGGAAATCAAAAAATATTGCCTGCTTTGCATGCTCAAGTTATCCCAATATTATGTGTTTCCCATTAATACGTTCTCTGCCATTCAGTTTATTAAGGGAATATCTGCTGTTATACAAATAATAATCACATATGAGCTTTCCCCACTTGATCCATGACTGATGGTATTTTTGTAACCCAGATTTCTCAATAAATGCATAAAGTGGGCATTCCAAACGATTGCTGTTGGGATATTATCTTCTCTGCTCTATAATGACAGTTGCTGCATTCAAAAACCTGTCAACTACTGCTTAAATTTAGCAGCCTTTAAAAATCCACCAACTAAGATTAATACGCACAAATGAAATTTTAAATCATGTCATAAATTCTCAACTAATCAGCAATGTGCATTAAAGGCCATCCCTTGACCAACGATAGTATCACAAGCATATGTTCATAAATGTTTTAGATGCTAAGATGTATTTCTGAACTTTGACTATCTGAACAGTGAACACGAAGTGTTGGAAAATTACAATACTACTTATACTTCTCTATCATGACATAGTTTTACAAGGAAACCTCTTCCCATTTCCCAGTTTCAATGTCCTCCTTAGTACCACTGCCACGTTCCACTCTTTGGTCCTTAATCTTATAGTCTTTACCAACTCAAAATACATGAAAAATACTCTTTTTGAAAACTCAAAACACACAACACATACCCATTATTTATACTAGGAGTCGTCCGAACAACTCAAAAGTGCAGATTTCACAGTTTATAGCAAACAAGTTTGAGTTAATAGGCTGGTTAGGTAGGATTTATATATGAGGCAGGGTGAGAGCAGCCCCTCAAGTCTACTAATTTTTTTATTGTGTGATAGCTCTCTTCACGCCCTCCTATGTGCAACTCACATGGGCTAAGAAACCGAATTGAAATAGACAAACATACAACTGGAGTTGAACCCAAATAGACTGAAGAATTTAACTGAGTGAGAGATTTGGCCCACCAACTAACTACATAGGGTTCAGCTCTAATACCATTAGAGCATCTAACAAAAAATCGAGTGGCCCCTCGAGTATATTACAACTCGATCTAGGGTCTAGTTGATTTTTCAATATGGGATAACTCCCTTCACAATGGGTATTGGAAATAAAATAGTGCATCGTAACAAACAGGTGGATTGACAGTAAAAAAAAATATGTAAGATTGTCTAAGAACTGATTCCAAATTGCTGGTATATATTTTCAGCAAGTAAAAGATGAAGCACGTTGAAGTATCAATACTTCAATTACACCCACTCTTAACAGGTTCAGCTTTTGGAGAACATGGTAGAAGGGGCGGCTCAAAGCTATTTGAGGCCTAAAGTAGAAATATTAAATAAAGTCTTTATTTTTATTATTTACTTTTTAAAAAAATCAATTTATTTTTAATTTCTTACACGAGAGAGACAGAAGAAAGATGTGTTAATGTTGCCAAGAAAGAAGTTTCAATTTTTATTTGTGTTTTTTACCCGAGAGAAAGGGTGTGTTTAATTTTAACTATTGTTTATGTTTTTTACTTTTTATACTAGAGAGAGAGAAAATAGGTGGAAGTAAATATAATTGACTTTTGAATACTTTTCTATTTTTTTAACTTCTAATTTTTAGTTTTTCAATATTATGGATTGGATCATAAGCCTAAATTATTACAATAAAAATTTTGATTGGACTTTTTTTTTGGGGGGGGGGGGGTTAAGGGTTAAAATTTAATGGATTTAAATTTTTTTTGTGGGCCAGTAATGTACCTAAAATTATGGGGCCTAAAACCAAGGTTTTATTTTTCATACTGCTGGCCTGGCCTTGCAATGCTAGACCCAAAACCTACCTTGCACGTGAGGGGGATTTTTACCTCTGTAACAGCTTAAACTTTTAAACTTTTAGAGTAGATGGTTGTTCAACAAAGCAGAAACTGCAAATGCAGGGTTTGTGAAGTTAAGTTATAACTTCACAACACCAATAACATAGAAAAAGTTATTTTTCTACTAAGCTGCTGGCTTACAATACCACTGAACAAGTTGCAATTACAGGAGGCTTGTGGATGTTTTGGAACCTCAATATTAATTCTTAAATTAAGCAGGAGAAAAATCATTGCTATGCAGAAATGTTAGGGACGGTGTAAGCAAGTACGGGTGTCTGGACGAGAGAGAGAATACATTAATTGGATCTGAAATTTTTTTCACATTCCAAGAACTCTTTAGTTGACTAACTTGAAGTGACGAGTGTATGTGCAATGAGAATCATTGGAGATTGTGGTGGATAATTAGGGTTTTATATTTTTAGGGTAGGAAATTAGGGTTTCATATTACATAGAGTCGGATAAAGATGGCACTTGGCATTAAGAATTGATCACAGAAAATCAATTATAATACCCGAGAAGTGAGGTCAGGAAGCTACCATATAGCTTGCAGGATGGACACAAGGAGAGATGTCTCTCTGGAAACCTATTCTGCTGACTCAAAAAAAAAAAAATATCCCAACTTTCTTCGAAGGGACTTTTGGGCTGCGCAACCAGTATCAAAAATGATTAAAAGCTACCAAAATCTCCGTAGAAGTTTAGATATACCAATATTCACACCAGCAAAATAGAACTTTTTGGCTATATACACAACCAAAATTACTGATCATTTTGTTTTACAAAACCAAGGAACAAACCTCACTAGATGGCACTTTTAAGCAGGCGCGGAGGGCTGGGTTCTCCAATTTCTGCAGCAACACCCCAAGGCAAGGGAAACCTGAAAATTTTTGTGTAACTCATTATTTGAGATGATTTCATGTCAGATGGACAGCCACAATCAATTTCAAAAAGATTTGAACCTTATTAGAGACAGGTGAAGCGCAATATATGAGTATATGACAGCAACAACGATGGTATAAACACTAATGTTAAAAGCAAGAAGACACGGGGAACAGAAAGATGAGCTGACAGATCTGAAGGAACCAAAGTGAAAGTGTCAGAATTCTGGCGCACATGACCCAACATAGTGGTTTTGTGGGTGCTTAGAATGAAATAACAGAACAGCTGTTATCAACCCAAAGCACTGTGGCTTACAAGCCTGGTAGCAAAGAGACAGAAACATGACATTTGCAGCCTGTAAACTCTTAACAAGTTGTAAATAGATCACAAAGGTGTTGGGGGACTTGTGTATAGGCTTTCCAAAAGGTTTGCTCGTATTGAAGGATTTCTATAGGTGGCTCAAACCGAAATAACAAGCATGTTGTACGAGTGATAATAATTTTCATCAAAAGTAAACACAAAATACTTTATAAAGTAAAACATAAAGGAAATGTACCCCACTCAAACTGATTGAAGTTATCTAAATATAGAATCTTCATCCTTAGATCACTATGCATTATCATTATTGCTTAAATCAATATATACTCATTTCCAAGCTAAATAACAACCGTGAACATAGTTTCTGACATTACTAATCCGGCATGGATAGAATATGAGAAAAGTGCTAACCAGTGTACTTTCCGTTCCTCTCGTAGTCATCAAGAAAATGAGACACAACAGTAGTTGGAATCACATATCCGATATTTTCAACCTCTTCAGATCTGTAAACCTAAAGGAAGTGTCTTGTGAAAACATAGTAGAAAAATAAAGGAACAGATTTCTAATGTGAGGAAAGTTTGTCAAAGAATGAGACACCGGGAGAATCATCAGTTCATTAAACCAAGATAAAACAAAATAACTGTTGCACATGGTCAAATATTAAAATTCAAATGATGTTGCAATAGTCAAAAAAACATAAGAATCATTTTATAGAGGAGTTGCACATGAAAAAAAATACTGTATAGCAGCAAAAAATATATATATATAGGGAAAGCATTTACACCAAGTCAATTGTGATGTTCAACTTTGACAAAGAAATACCTGAAATGCCACACCGATGCACTCTCCCTGGTCATTGAATGCAGGACCACCGCTATTACCTAAAATCTAGCAGGTATAAGCATGGCTACAAGAAGAAAAAACCATTCTAAGGCAGCCAAATGGAAGAACTTTTATAAATTCAAGTCAGAATACATATTTACAAAAGTTTCAGTCAGAAAGGAATCAAAATATAGTAGTTTACAATCTTCTTACCAGGATTTATTGCTGCATCGATTTGAATACCCAGTAACTCAGATAATCCATGAGCATATGATGTGACCTATTTAGCATAGAATAACTAAAGCTTGATACATTGTTCTACATCTGGGCTCAAAGATGCATATTCTGGCTGAATTAAAATTCGTAGCATCAGTTCTATGCTGGTTCTTACTGATTTTTTTTGTGTAAACGAATAAAAAAGTGTAATATAGATGTTCAAGCAACTGTTTCTAGCATCAAAACATGAAGAGAATAATAAGTCAATCCACTCAAAAAGCATATATCACCCATGCAAGTACGACATCAGGGCACGAAGTTATGGTTGGTTCTGCATTTGATTGTATCAGCATGAAAAATTCTACGGGCAATCTAGATCAAAATAATTCAGGTGTAGTTGCTGGTTCAAGAAATAATGGAGACTTGAGAATATACATCAAAGAGTTATTCACGCCTTGGACTCCTTTTGGAATCTTGGACATGTTACACTTCAGTGCTTTAAGTTATAAAATGAACATGCAGCCCTGTAAAAGATGAAGGAATCGACAACAAGATAAACTTCTTCACCATACACTAAACGAAACAAGAAAGCATTAACATGCAACCTTTTTCACCTTCATTCCTCTTGAAGACCATTCCAATTTCTTATTTATATGTTATAGCATCCATCTAGTTAGAAATCTGCCATAAGGATATAAAATAAAAACCTCCAATGAAAACGACAGAAATGAGGATAAGGTGCTGCTAAATTAAAATGGTTATCCTGAAGAAAGCAAGTTCTTCCACAAAGATAGTTCAAGTAGGAAAATCTGTCACCTTACTAAGCATTTCAAATGAAATTTTAAATATGAATTTTAAGTAACATTTCAAATGAAACATTAAGTGTTGATAATTTCTTGAGATGACACTGGCTATTAGTCTCATTGATTCTGTTCATAAGTTAATTACCATTTATTATTTTGCTAACTTATTTTCCGTTTCTTACACCACATTTGATGTTGCCTATAGTCAATCAATTGTCGCCTTGCCCACACAAAAAAAACATGCATCATATAGGAATTGCAACACCATCGATTACCAGAATCATGAGATATGGAAATATGAAATTTTGGTGTGGATCACCTTTGAAACCAAAGTAAATGCATAAAAGTGATGGTTAGCAGTATGTCGGCAATTGATTACAAGACACGTGATTACAAAATGCAACCAAATAGACCAAACCTCTATGCGGGATACCACCCCTTTAGTCACTGAAATGGTGTCTCCTCCAAGTGGATATCCTACAACAGTCACCGCATCCTGCACATTGAGAAGTGAAGACCCCGTTTAAAAGGTTTACCCAGATGGCATCCCATTGCCTCGGCAAAGAGACTATGATTCACATTCTTTGTTCACAACTTTCCATAAAATACCAGACAGAATCAGTCATTCTTCGAGAGAAAAAAGCAACCAATGCCCCACATGTAAAATAAGCAGAAGAGGAGTTTAGCTAATGCAAAATGGAATTACCAGACGTAGTAAGTTAAAATGTAACATATTTATACCCATTCGCAGTAGTCAATGCATCTGGGCAAGACATAGTTACCTCCCATTTCCTCTTCGAAAGCCAGGCCTAGGCCATAGCCATGCAACGACCGAGAAAAACTTCTCTGTCTTCCATCCGAATTTCATCCAAAATATACGTTTTCATATCTGAAATTCAGTCAATGTCTACATAAAGACAAAGTATTGGAGCACGCATAAAACTGATGAAGTGTAGAGTCTAATGCCACTGTGTCAGAAATTGCAGAGTTCTAGGGTTGTAGCAACAAGCTGCCTGGCTACTTTTCCCCCTTTCATTTTCCAGGTAAGGGATTCTGTGGCCTTTCTAGGCTGAATGCGGCACGTAGATGGTTGAGGTAGATAAGGCAATGCCTTGATACAACCTAACTATGGAGCCCGCCTAGTAGGAGTGTCATGTGGAAGGCGTGATGGAAGAAAAGTTTGACAAGGATCACCACGTCTTCCTAACCATTAGAATATATTAACTCATTCTTGTTTGATAGTTCCTTCAGCATCTTATACTATAAAAGAGTGAATCCAACTCTTTCATCCCTCTACTGTTCAAATCCTACACTATATGAACTACGCCTGTTCTCTTCAGTTGCACACAAGTCATAGTTAAAGACTTAGAGACACAAAAGGGTAAAGCAAAAGTAAATGTAATCATGGGTTGAAATGGCCCCATCCTAGCATCTATATATTCATCGCGTACTGTTCAGAATAGGTTCCACACATAACACAGATTTCTCTTTTTACACTCCAAGAAGAGCCTAGACCACAACTGCCTTCTCTTTCCAAAAATCCATACCTGTTTCCCATCACAAATCATGGCAAAGATATGTTCTCTCCTTCTCCCTTTTTTCTATCTCTCAGGAAAGATCTCTTTTTCTCTATCAGAACAGATTTAGTGAAGGAGGAAGCAAGTCCTACGTTTTTCCTCACTATTCTCTTATGGGAAATCAGTTGCCTAGAAGTATCAATACAAAATTTTGGAGGTAGCAGATAGATTTTCTAATAGGAAGAAGCTTCATATCAGGTATTGTTCTTCACATAATATGGTACTCAAATTCTTCGCCACACAAACACACACTGAATCACCACCACTAAAGTGAACAATTCCAAACCCATAGGTGCATTATTTTCCAACCCTTGCACACAGAAAAATTGAGGCGCCAAAATGTGCGACGTGTGCAAGGTGTGTTGATGGAGAAGGCACTGGTGGTGGTCGGCAAAGATTAGATGCTGCAGATTCGTCCCATGGGATCAGATACTTTTTCTGCGACAATGGTGATCAGGAAGGTGGCTGCCGGTGGTTTGTGATAAGTAGCGCGGCGTGGTGTGGGCTTTGTACTAAGTTGCGGCTGCCACAGAGAGAAAGAGGTATGCAATATTAGAAGAACAAATAGGTAAAGATGATTCCTGACTTGTGTTTTTTGGATGATCTGCAGTGGTGAAGGAGGAAGGAGGTAAAGCCGTGCCGTGGAGGGAGGTGTGGTGGGAGGCAGCTGCTGGGTAGAGGATGAGGGCAGTGCTTTGTGAGAGGTTGGAATGGTGGTGAGGTCCTGAGCATTGGCGGTGGGGAGGGGGCCACGTAAGTTTGCGTAGTAGAGGAGAGTTAGTCATGGATTTTGATCTAAATTTTTTTTTTCTGTTCTTATGGTTTTAATCGGACAAATAAAGGTAAATAAATCTCTTTTGTCAAATTTATTAATGTCGTCTAACAATTTGGGTTCTACTTTCATTTCTCAAATTATAAGAAAGCCCATATGATGAATCAATTTTTTGGAAACTCTCAATTTTTGTTTAGTTTTCTTTCTTGTTTCAATTGCGATTGACCTGAATTGTATGTTAAATGATTTTTAACATGCCCAGATTTTCTGCGATTGACCTTAATTTGAATATTTGCGATTTCTTTTCAGGTTCTTAATTTCAATGTGAAATTGCTTACAAGTAGTCCAGGATTGTGTTTTATTTTTTTTATAATTGATCTTTATATAGACAAAATAAGTATAATCTAAGAAAAAATAAAGTTTGTAGTTAAAGGGTCTACCCTCACACAAATTTGATAACTCTATTCATGAAAGTTTTCCTTTTCTGATTTCTTCAAATCTTTCTTCTCTCTTTTGTGTTTATCAGTAGTTTTACTTGGCTTTGATTTGTCAACAAAGATAACTTGAAGCAAATTAAATATCTAGACATTATATAGTTGACAGTGACTAAAAATTTAAATTATCATGTACTTAATGAATTATTCATTCATTGATTTTTTACTACATCATGAAAATAAACCTTAATTAGCGTGCATTGCACGCAGGAACCTCACAAGTTATCATACAAAATCACAAAAAGAAAAAACTCTATAACGGTAAGACCTACATATATTGGCAGCGGAAACTGTTATCCTTAGAGGAAAAAAGATGAAAAGACAACAACCTGCAAACGTGGCAGGCATCCAAGATGAAGTGGTTCAGCTCCTTTCCAGAATTCCTTGCTTTCCACTGAAAGTAAAGCTATGTCACATTCCACACCTCTGGCTAAAACCTGTACATGGGATCACTGAGTATAATGACAGATGTTATAATATATCAAATTGACCTTTTTCTCCAATGATGGTGAAACACTCAACTTGAACAATTTGAGCAAACAGTAATAAACATTGACAATATACCACCAATGCAGAAAGGTTAAAAATACTATTTTACTCATAGTAGAGATTTTTTAAAAGAAACTGCGTACCAGCTATAGACAAATGAAAAGCACATTAGTTGACATAAAACCCAATGATGTCAAATTCATCATGAAAAACAATCTCATGGACTTAAATAGAAAATAAACAAAGAAGATTGCCTTAACATAAAACTGGTTTGGTGGAAAGATAGCATTACCCTGCAACAAGTTAAATGATGAGTGGAAAACAATTTGTAGCAGTGCATGGACCAAATCACTTACAGAATTCACAAGTAAATTTTTCATGAAATAATATCACCTACGGCTACTAGTTTGTTTCGTAAAGACTCTGTTAGGCTGGTTATGCCATTGCTGGCCTCAATGCTCTAAATAACAAAACAATCTATATGCAAAACCAAAGTGCCACACAATTATCACATACATGGTCATAGTTTAAGTGATACCTTAGCCACATACTTGGTATCATCTCCCCTTTTCTTCACTTTGACCTGCAATCAACTTAGGCATTAATATAATTGAGATTAGCACTTCACAGGAATCCTAAATCTTGTAGTTGCTTAAATGGGTGCAAAATGAGAACCAATAAATATAGGGACACCTCCTGATTATACACCAAGTTGGGAAAAGACAATCAAGGAAAAGGGTATATATCAATTTATGAACCTACAAATACAGCAAGAAATGAGATTTCTTAGATCAGCATTCAACAACAAAAAACCCTTTGAGCAGAAATTATTCTGCCCCCAAAATGCAGGAAACTGCGTGTAGTTTCCTCATTTCCTCACAATTCAAATTAAAAACCCTTTGAGCAGTAATTATTCTGCCCCCAAAATGCAGGAAACTGCGTGTAGTTTCCTCATTTCCTCACAATTCAAATTAGATTCAACATCAACAACGCCACAACAGCATCTTGTTCATGTGTGTGCAGGTCTGCAGTCATGAACTCATGCTGTAGCAAAATCAGTTGCAATGTCATCATTATAACTATGAAAGTACAAACAAAATAGGCAAGCCTTCAAACAGTGGTAAGGTTACCCAATTGTGACCTACTTTCAAGTTGCAGAAACAGCCTTCAATTGGCAGTTACGTGGCATAAATATGACCCTCCCACTGATTACTACAGCCAAATGATATGGACATTGACAATCTACCAGTGAAATCAAGAAATTGATTCACAAAAAGGTGCCGCCAACATGGATTGATTTAGGTGACTTACTGACCATTGACAAAAAACCTCAATCATGCGGCTGATATGTGGTTGGCTAATTAGTCACCACTTATGGTCCTATCCACTTTACTTATGTAAGTAACATCATCTCCAATATAACCCTCCCTATAAAAAAAAATTGAAGCTAGATGATGAAATCTTTCATTCTTTGATCTCTCTTCCTAATCTAAAATTCTCAAGATTCTAGAGTTTAAATAAAATTTCTAAAAGCTTAAATTTTGATACACTATATCTTTGATAAAACAAACTGACTATTATGTCTACTATATCTTTGATAAAGAAAAAAATAATCAATGTAATTCTCCATTTCACGCAAACTGATTTAATTATGGCCCTATCCACTTATTACTACAGTCAAATGAGATGGACATTGATAGTCTACCTGTGAAATCAAGAAATTGATTCACTAAAATGTGCCACCAACATGGATTGATTTAGGTGACTTACTGACCATTCACAAAAAACCTCAGCCAAGCAGCTGATATGTGATTGGCTAATTAGTCACCACTGATGGCCCTATCCACTTTACTTATGTAAATAACATCATTTCCAATAACACCCTCCCTATAAAATAAAATTAAAAAAATTGAAGCTAGATAATGAAATCATTCATTCTTTAATCTCACTTGACCTTTGATCTTCATTACCTCCCTAAACTTGGATAAAAACTCTATTTGAATTTCTAGTTTTACAAGACCTATATTATATATCTATTGGAGTTCTACTTAATCTAAAACCCTCAAGATTCTGGAGTTTAGATCAAATTTCTTAAAGCTTAAATTTTGATCAACTATATCTTTGATAAAACAAAAGAAAACTGACTGATTATTATGTCTACTATATTTTTGATAAAGCAAAATATAATCGTTGTAATTCTTCATTTAATCCAAACTGATTTAATTAAGGCCCTATCCACTTATTCGTACAGCCAAAATGGGATGAACATTGACAATCTAGAGTCTACTAGCGCAATCAAGAAATTGATTCACTAAAATGTGCCACCATCATGGATTGATTTAGGCAACATACTGACCATTCACAAAAAACCTCACCCAAGCAATTGATATGTGGTTGGCTAATTAGTCACGATTTATGGCCTTATCCACTTTATTTATGTAAGTAACATCATCTCCAATATCACCCTCCCTATAAAACAAAAATTGAAGCTAGATGATTAACTCATTCATTCCTTGATCTTTCTTGACCTTTGATCTTCATTACCTCCCTATCCCTGGATAAAAACTCTATTTGAATTTCTAGTTTTACGATACCTATATTATATATCTATTGAGGTTCTACTTAATCTAAAACCCTTAAGATTCTAGAGTTTAGTTCAAATTTCTAAAAACATAAATTTTGATACACTATATCTTTGATAAAACAAAAGAAAACAAACTGACTACTATGTCTACTATATCTTTGATAAAGAAAAGAATAATCGTTGTAATTTTGCATTTAACCCAAACTGATTTACTTACGGCCCTATCCACTTATCACTATATTCAAATGAGATGGACATTGGCAGTCTACTAGCGAAATCAAAAAATTGATTCACTAAAATGTGCCGCCAACATAGATTGATTTAGGTGACTTACTGACCATTCACAAAAAACTCAGCCAAGCGGCTAATATGTGGTTGGCTAATTAGTCACCACTTTTGGCCCTATCCACTTTACTTATGTAAGTAAAATCATTTCCAATAACACCCTTCCTATAAAATAAAAATAAATAAAAAAATTTGAAACTAGATGATGAAATCATTCATTCTTTGATCTCTCTTACCTCCCCAACCTTGGTTACAATCCCTATTTAAATTTCTAGTTTTACAAGACCTATATTATATACTTATTGGAGTTCTATTTGCTCTAAAACCCTCGAGATTCTAGAGTATAAATAAAATATCTAAAAGCTGATATTTTGATACACTATATCTTTCATAAAACAAATTGATTACTATGTCTACTATATCTTTTATAAAGCATAATATAATTGTTGTAATTCTCGATTTAACTCAAACTAATTTAATTATGGTCATATCCACTTATTACTACAGTCAAATGAGATGGACATTGACAGTCTACCAGTGAAATCAAGAAATTGATTCACTAAAATGTGCCGCCAACATGGATTTATTTAGGTGACTTACTGACCATTCACAAAAAACCTCAGCCAAGCAGCTGATATGTGGTTGGCTAATTAGTCACCACTTATGGCCCTATCCACTTTACTTATGTAAATAACATCATCTCCAATACCACCCTCCTTATAAAATAAAATAAAATAAATCGAAGCTAGATGATGAAATCATTCATTCTTTGATCTCTCTTGACCTTTGATCTTCATTACCGGCCTAACCTTGTATAAAAACTCTATTTGAATTTCTAGTTTTACAAGACCTATTTTATATATCTATTGGAGTTCTACTTAATCTAAAACCCTCAAGACTTTAGAGTTTAGATCAAATTTCTACAAGCTTAAATTTTGATCAACTATATCTTTGATAAAACAAAAGAAAACAAACTGATTACTAGTGAATCAATTTCTTGATTGCACTAGTAGATATGTGGTTGACTAATTAATCACCATTTATAGCCTTATCCACTTTATTTATGTAAATAACATCATCTCCAATATCACCCTCCCTATTAAAAAAAATTGAAGCTAGATGATCAAATCATTCATTCCTAGATCTCTCTTGACCTTTGATCTTCATTACCTCCCTATCCCCGGATAAAAACCCTATTTGAATTTCTAATTTTACAAGACCTATATTATATATCTATTGGGGTTTTACTTAATCTAAAACCCTTAAAACTCTAGAGTTTAGATCAAATTTTTAAAAGCATAAATTTTGATACATTATATCTTTGATAAAACAAAAGAAAACAAACTAACTATTACGTCTATTATATCTTTGATAGTGAAAAAATAATCGTTGTAATTTTCCATAATTCCATTTAACCCAAACTAATTTAATTACGGCTCTATCCACTTATTACTATAGTCAAATGAGATGGACATTGACAGTCTACCAGCGAAATCAAAAAATTGATTCACTAAAATGTGCCGCCAACATGAATTGATTTAGGTGACTTACTGACCATTCACAAAAAACCTCAGCCAAGCAGCTGATATGTGGTTGGCTAATTAGTCACCACTTTTGGCCCTATCCACTTTACTTATGTAAGTAACATCATTTCCAATAACACCCTCCCTATAAAATAAAAATAAATAAAAAAATTTGAAACTAAATGATGAAATCATTCATTCTTTGATCTCTCTTGACCTTTGATCTTCCTTACCTCTCCAACCTTGGTTACAATCCCTATTTAAATTTCGAGTTTTACAAGACCTATATTATATACTTATTGGAGTTCTACTTGCTCTAAAACCCTCGAGATTCTAGAGTATAAATAAAATATCTAAAAGCTGATATTTTGATACACTATATCTTTCATAAAACAAATTGATTACTATGTCTACTATATCTTTCATAAAGCATAATATAATCGTTGTAATTCTCGATTTAACTCAAACTAATTTAATTATGATCATATCCACTTATTACTACAGTCAAAAGAGATGGACAATGACAGTCTACCAGTGAAATCAAGAAATTGATTCACTAAAATGTGCCGCCAACATGGATTGATTTAGGTGACTTACTGACCATTCACAAAAAACCTCAACCAAGCAGCTGATATGTGGTTGGCTAATTAGTCACCACTTATGGCCCTATCCACTTTACTTATGTAAATAACATCATCTCCAATACCACCCTCCTTATAAAATAAAATAAAAGAAATTGAAGCTAGATGATGAAATCATTCATTCTTTGATCTCTCTTGACCTTTGATCTTCATTACCGCCCTAACCTTGTATAAAAACTCTATTTGAATTTCTAGTTTTACAAGACCTATATTATATATCTATTGGAGTTCTACTTAATCTAAAACCCTCAAGACTCTAGAGTTTAGATCAAATTTCTACAAGCTTAAATTTTAATCAACTATATCTTTGATAAAACAAAAGAAAACAGACTGATTACTATGTCTACTGTATCTTTGATAAAGCAAAATATAATCATTGTAATTCTCCATTTAACCCAAACTGATTTAATTAAGGCCCTATCAACTTATTACGACAGGCAAATGAGATGGACATTAACAATCTAAAGTCTACTAGTGCAATCAAGAAATTGATTCACTAAAATGTGCCGCCAACATGGATTGATTTAAGCGACTTACTAATCATTCACAAAAAACCTCAGCCAAGCGATTGATGTGGTTGGCTAATTAGTCAACATTTATGGCCTTATCCACTTTATTTATGTAATTAACATCATCTCCAATATCACCCTCCCTATAAAAAAAAATTTGAAGCTAGATGATTAAATCATTCATTCCTTGATCTCTCTTTACCTTTGATCTTCATTACCACCCTATCCTTGGATAAAAGCTCTACTTGAATTTCTAGTTTTACAAGACCCATATTATATATCTATTGTGGTTCTACTTAATCTAATACCCTTAGGATTCTAGAGTTTAGATCAAATTTCTAAAACTTAAATTTTGATACAATATATCATATAGATAAAACAAAAGAAAACAAACTAACTACTATGTCTACTATATTTTTGATAAAGAAATAAATAATCGTTGCAATTTTCTATTTAACTCAAACTCATTTAATTACGGCCCTATCCACTTATTACTATAGTCAAATGAGATGGACATCGACAGTCTACTAAAGAAATCAAAAAATTAATTCACTAAAACATGTCGCCAGCATGGACTAATTTACGTGACTTACTGACCATTCACAAAAAACCTCTGTCAAGCGGCTGATATGTGGTTGGCTAATTAGTCACCACTTTTGGCCTTATCCACTTTACTTATGTAAGTAACATCATTTCCAATAACACCCTCCCTATAAAATAAAATAAAAAATTTGAAGCTAGATGATGAAATCATTCATTTTTTGATCTCTCTTGACCTTTGATCTTCGTAACCTCCCTAACCTTGAATAAAATTCCTACTTGAATTTCTAGATTTACAAGACCTATATTATATATCTATTGGAGTTCTACTTGATCTAAAACCCTCAAGATTCTAGAGTTTAGATCAAATTTCTAAAAGTTGAAATTTTGATACACTATATCTTTGATAAAACAAAAGAAAACAAATTGATTACTATGTCTACTATGTCTTTGATAAAGCAAAATATAATCGTTGTAATTCTCAATTTAACTCAAACTAATTTAATTATGGTCATATCCACTTGTTACTACAGCCAAATGAGATGGACACTGGTGATTGATTTAGGTGACTTATTGACCATTCACAAAAAACGTCGGCCAAGCAGCTGATACGTGGTTGGCTAATTAGTCACCACTTATGGCCCTATCCACTTTACTTATGTAAATAACATCATTTCCAATAACACCTCCCAATAAAATAAAAATAAAAAAATTGAAGTTAGATGATGAAATCATTCATTCTTTTAGCTCTCTTGACCTTTGATATCTATTAGAGGTCTACTTAATCTAAAACCCTCAAGATTCTAGAGTTTAGATCAAATTTCTAAAAACTTAAATTTTGATCAACTATATCTTTGATAAAACAAAAGAAAACAGACTGATTACTATGTCTACTATATCTTTGATAAAGCAAAATATAATCATTGTAATTCTCCATTTAACCCAAACTGATTTAATTAAGGCCCTATCCACTTATTACTACAGCCAAATAAGATGAACATTGACAATCTAGAGTCTACTAGCACAATCAAGAAATTGATTCACAAAAATGTGCCACCGACATGGATTGATTTAGGCAACTTACTGACCATTCACAAAAAACCTCATCCGAGTGATTTATATGTGGTTGGCTAATTAGTCACTGTTTATGGCCTTATCCACTTTATTTATGTAAGTAACATCATCTTCAATATCACCCTCCCTATAAAAAAAAATTGAAGCTAGATGATTAACTCATTCATTCCTTGATCTTTCTTGACCTTTGATCTTCATTACCTCCCTATCGCTGGATAAAAACCCTATTTGAATTTCTAGTTTTATAAGACCTATATTATATATCTATTGAGGTTCTACTTAATCTAAAACCCTTAAGATTCTAGAGTTTAGATCAAATTTCTAAAAACTTAAATTTTGATACACTGTATCTTTGATAAAACAAAAGAAAACAAACTGACTACTATGTCTTTGATAAAGAAAAGAATAATCGTTGCAATTTTCCATTTAACACAAACTGATTTACTTATGGCCCAATCCACTTATTACTATATTCAAATGAGATGGACATTGACAGTCTACTAGCGAAATCAAAAAATTGATTCACTAAAACGTGCTGCCAACATAGATTGATTTTGGTGACTTACTGACCATTCACAAAAAACTTAGCCAAGCGGCTAATAGGTGGTTGGCTAATTAGTCACCACTTTTGGCCCTATCCACTTTACTTATGTAAGTAACATCATTTCCAATAACACCCTCGCTATAAAATAAAATAAAAAAATTGAAAATAGATGATGAAATCATTCATTCTTTGATTTCTCTTGACATTTGATTTTCGTTACCTCCCCAACCTTGGATAAAATCCCTATTTGAATTTCTAATTTTACAAGACCTATATTATATATCTATTGGAGTTCTACTTGATTTAAAACCCTCAAGATTCTAGAGTTTAGATCAAATTTCTAAAAGCTAAAATTTTGATACATTATATCTTTGATAAAATCAAATAAAACAAATTGATTACTATGTATCTTTGATAAAGCAAAATATAATCATTGTCATTGTCAATTTAACTCAAACTAATTTAATTATGATCATATCCACTTATTACTATAGCCAAATGAAATGGACATTGACAGTTTACCAGTGAAATCAAGAAATTGATTCACTAAAATGTGCCGCCAACATGGATTGATTTAGGTGACTTATTGACCATTCACAAAAAACCTCAGTCAAGCGGCTGATATATGGTTGACTAATTATTCACCGCTTATGGCCCTATCCACTTTACTTATGTAAATAACCTCATTTCTAATAACACCCTCCCTATAAAATAAAATTAAATAAATTGAAGCTAAGTGATGAAATCATTCATTCTTTGATCTCTCTTGACATTTGATCTTCAATACCTCCCTAACCTTGGATAAAAACCCTATTTGAATTTCTAGTTTTACAAGACCTATATTATATATATATATATATTGGAGTTCTACATAATCTAAAACCCTCAAGATTCTAGAGTTTAGATCAAATTTTTAAAAGCTTAAATTTTGATCAACTATCATCTTATAAAACAAAAGAAAACAGGCTGATTACTATGACTACTATATCTTTGATAAAGCAAAATATAATCGTTGTAATTCTCCATTTAACCCAAACTGATTTAATTAAGGACCTATGGCCTATCCACTTGTTACTACAACCAAATGAGATGGACATTAACAGTCTTCTAGTGAAATCAAGAAATTGATTTACTAAAATGTGCCGCCAACATGGATTGATTTAGGTGACTTATTGACCATTCACAAAAAAACATCAACCAAGCAGTTGATATGTGGTTGACTAATTAGTCACCACTTATGGCCCTATCCACTTTATTTATGTAAGTAACATCATCTCCATTATCACCCTCCCTATAAAATAAAATAAAAAATTTGAAGCTAGATGATGAAACCATTCATTCTTTGATCTCTCTTGGCCTTTGATCTTCATTACATCCCTAACCTCGGATAAAAACCCTATTTGAATTTCTAGTTTTACAAGACCTATATTATATATCTATTGGAGTTCTACTTAATCTAAAACCCTCAAGATTCTAGAGATTAGATCAAATCTCTAAAAGCTTAAATTTTGAAACATTATATCCTTGATAAAACAAAAGAAATCATAAAACAATCGACACATGTAGTCTAACAAGCAATCTAGTACATATAATGATCAAAACATTAAGGCATATGTTGTATGTAAAGAAAGAGAAATAGCTATAAAGCCCCCTCAAGTCCCCAACAACTATACAAGCCTGTGACCTGCAACCAAACATTTCCAGGGAAAAAACACATGTACATGGTTGAATATTGAAGCATAAAATATCACGAAAAACTGTTGTATAACACATGCATAAATACCTAACTGTCAACAAATACTAGAATAACACAAGTGGATTGTATCAACAAGGACACAAGAATGGAATGAAATATTTCGATCAAACAGTACTTTACTACTGCCAAAGTGGCCAAGGAAGACCAACAAAATCACTAAAAGTACGTATGTTCTACATCACATCATACTTTCTTTAGTGTTAAACAAGAAATGAACTTAATGCTTAAAGTAGCCTTCTTATAGATTTGTATCACTCGTCAGAGAAACTATTATCGATCAAGATAAGAACTTACATGATACTTTCTTTAGCATTAACAAGATAAGAACTTAAATGCTTACAGTAGTCCTGTTAAAGATTTATTGTATCACTCGTCAGGACAACTATTATGATGCTTTAGAACAAGCTCTCAACAACAATGCTTTTCCCTCAGTCAAAGTGCAAAAATGTGATTGGCCTGTGTCTAGAACATGTTTCATCATTTTAAAGCAATCCCAAACCATTGGAACTTGCAAAAAGACCCAAGCATTTTCCAATTCATACACTGACAGAGAAATCAATAACGAAAACTTGGAAGTAGACAATGTGCTAGACTACCACATATTTTCTTTAGCATTAACAATATAAGAACTTAATGCGTAAAGTTGCCTTGTTATAGTATCACTCATTTGAGCAAGTACCCTGATACTTTAAAACAAGTTCCTGAGAACAAAAATTATATCCTGAGAAACAGTATATCTATCAGACAATCAGCTAAAACTTAATGTGTGAGCAAAATATATTTCATGTTTTGGGCATGTTAATCTTCTGACTATAACAACATTTGCTTTCGAGTGATAGTCGCAAAGTAGTTGCTTGCAAATTGCAACACATCCAAAGATTACCTGCGTATTATGTTCAACACAATGCGCATTTGTCAAAAGCTTCCCATCACTGATCATAAATGCACTGTATTTCAAAAAAGAAGAGAAATAAAAAATCTTAGCATATATCTTTTGAGGAAAACAACCATTTAACATGCACAATTAATAAGGTGACTACATTTCCAAACTACAGTTCATCGCATAGTTCTTCTGAAAAGCTATTTTCAACATTTTCTAGGAACAACTAATAGATAGAAGAACTCAATACATGCCTTCCAGTACTCGTAAACTGTCTTTGTTTTTGCCAAGGGAGGGAATAATCAGGTGCAGTATGGGTACAATAAACCTAGATGAAAAGTGAAAGGAAAAAAGAGGGTTAACAGCACAGTGAAAGTAAACATATTAATAAAAAAGAGTTCTACATATAATAAACCTTACAGAGAAAAACTGAGCATGTATAGGACACAAACATGGTGTCTAGATTAGCATTAGCCGTTGCATACCCAGTAGATTAGCATACCATATAATATTTCCTGATGGCAAAATATGTGGCCCTTCTTTCATCACCTTTTTTAAGGTATTTTGCATCTCAAACATAGGCAATGGTATAAGGTCAATCTCAAACGTAAGTGTATATTTATACTCCACATACATATCAGCAGAACACCATCAAACTATCAATGGAAACAAAAGTCCTATCCTAGATTAGCTGCAGGCACTTTCTTCAATCACCTTTTGCTAAAACAAGCAGATACATGATCCAAACTTAGTCAAGAAACTCATAAAAATATCAGACAACCAAAATAGACTCTTGGTTAATCTTATTCTTGGCAATCAAATCAATTGAGTATCCTGAGAACTTTCTGAACAATACATGGAGCACTCTGGTGAAGCATATCATCATCAATTGTCTACTGCTACATAATGCAAGTTCTATTGAAATGAAGAAAAAAAATAGTTCATAAAGACCAGACATTCACAGCATTACCATTAGCATAAGCTCCAACCTTAACAAATAAGCATTATTTAAAATAATCAGTGATGCATTTAAAGCCATGCTGGTAGAATAACATGCCAGAAAATCGTACAGAAGAGTTTGGGAAACATGTGATATTCAGCTCCATAATGCTTCGCAGAGTTTGGTTTGATAACTATAAATTAAAATATTTCCAATAATCAAAATATATCCTTACCTTCACAACAGCATTGAGAAAAGCTGCATCTCGAATATTACCTGTTTCTACCTGGGGAGAAGTCATGGAAACTTAGACAACATACAACAGAAGACTTAGACAGGTGGAACTCAAACATAATCGAAATAACCAGCACAAAATAAGCATAAGATCATCAAACTAATATAGGAATCAATTAAGTAGATATAAAAATCCAAACCCTGAAAATCTGGATCTAGGTGAACAAATTGGAGTATACGAGATATAATGTCCAAAAGGCCAAATATCCCCTAGAAAGATCAATAAAAGAAACAAAAATCCAATTTGTTTCGGGTAAAGATAACCAAGTTGTGAATTTGTTATATTATCAGTCTTTTTAACTTAACAAAAAATTCAGAAACCAATTACTCCAGGAATAATGATAAACAAAAGCCATGTAAGCTTTTCCGATACTTACAACTGAACAGGGGCTATCCAAGAAAAGAAAAAAATTGAATTCCCTTCATACCTGCTGCTGCTCTTTTGAGTCCAACAGGAACCCCTTGGAGCCTTTTCTTTGACCACCAAACGATTTAAATGCAGTTGATTGCGATCGCCCAGTTTTACTTCTTCCACTATGACCATCGGCATTGGAATACGGTCTTTCATCCTTTGATCTTTCAGGAAACTTCTGCGAAACAGCTTCTTTCTGAATCTAACAAAACCAACATAAAAGACCAGATTACATTAGTCAAATTGCAACCCAATTAAAAGGGATTGGAAACAATGTTTTAGGTCATAACAGCATAGGCATTAATACCCAGCACGAAAAACAAAAGGAAAACCAAAAAGAAAGGAAGACATACATAAAAAAGAAAACATGGTCCTCTTCAAACATATGTAATGTGTCAGATGTACCAGACCCAATTAGCGATATCCCATTATACGCTAGAATCCTAACCATAATGAAACTTCCAATACACTAAAAATCTATAAAGAAAACCTCAATACTATAGTTACGACAGTTCCACGGCTATTCAAGAATCAAGCAAGTTAATCAAATTCAAAAAAGATTGAACGGCAAAGTACGAGAGAGAGAGAGAGAGAAACCTCCGTAGTGGATTTACGGGGAGGAGATGGAGAAATCTTGGGAGTTCTTTTCTTTGAATTTTGATTTTGATTTTGATTGGTGGCTGTGGTAATGAAGAAACAAGTGGGTCTTCGAGACGTGGCGAAGAGACGTTGGGAGGTCAAAGAATAACGGGAAGTGCCGTTGGAGGTGAGCACAGAGAACCAGCCGGTTGCGGCTGCGACCGCCATTAAAAGGCAAAGAAGAGCAACTGAGAAACAACAAACAAGGGTTTACTACTTTTATTGTTGCTGGCTGCTCTCTCACTCTCCCCCCCCCCTTATCCTCTGAGAATTCTCTCTAATTTAGAGAAGGTTAATCTCACTTTACACTCGAAAGATATTTTAATTTATAATTTATATCCTTAAATATTAAAATTTTTAATTTATATCTTTAAATATTAAAAATTTTAATTTATATCCTTAAATATTACAAATTTTAATTTATACCCTCAATATTATAAATTAATAATAACGTGAACCTCATCTAAACTATCGTTCAGTTTTATATCATAAATTGAAGCACATGAGTTGCAAGTGTTTCGAATATAAGGATGAAGTGTGTTCATCACTGCATATCTTTGTTCGCAATCAATTTGACATTGTTTTATATATCAAAAATAAAATTTCATTAATCAAATAAAAGTTAAATCTATCATGTGCAACTCACATGAGACACCAACAGCCTATAAAGTTATACATAAACCCATGATTGAAACACACTTGCAACTCACGTGTTTTAATTTATAACGAAAAATTGAACGATAGTCTGGATAAGGTTTACATTACTATCAATTGATAATATTGAGGATATAAATTAAAAATTTTAATATTTGAGAGTGTAAATTGAGAACCAAAGCATGTTTCGGAGTGTAAAGTGACATTAGCCCCTTTTTAACAAAAAAAATTTATGAGTCCATTATTGGTTTAAATCTTCAATATACAAAATTTAAGTCTAACAAACTAATATTAAAAAGATAAATGCATTTGGAAGTGTTTTTTTAATTTTTTCAATCAATTCTAGGCTTAGGGCGGCTCAACAATATGCGAGGATAATAAAATAATAAGTGCCAATGAGGTTTTTTTATTTTTAAATAATATTATAAAATTTTAATTGAAAATTTATTATTCTTATTTTTGTACATTCAAAATTACCAATTAAAGTTTTTTATCCAAATTATGCTAATATATATATTTTTAATTGATAGTATGACTTTTGATCATAAATATTTTGATAGGATTTATAATTTATTATTTCATTAATATTTTTATTTGTTTTGTATATTCTTCACAAAAATTGTAGTATTATATGATTGACTATTATTATAAATACATTAATTGTTATCATTTTGTTAAATTATTCAACCATCTTCTAATTTTTTATGATCTTTTATTTGTTTATGTTTGTAACTTTCACCTGAATTTTTGTTATGTTTTATTTATTATGGGTAACAACTTTATTAAAAATTAAAAATTAAATTATTTTTTATTTTAAATCTTTTATAGGAATGAATAGTTTGATTATTGTTTTTTGCTTAAATTGTGTTTGAAAGAAGTAGAAAATATATTAGGGTTTTTTTTTTGGTACGAAAGAGAATAGATAAAGAGTTTGATTGATGCTTATTATGTGTTTTTTCTTTGATATGAGAAATTCAAAAAATGGTTGTAACCATCATTTTTCTAAGATAAAGAGTACACTTTCTTATTAACCATAATTGTACTTCAAAAATTGTGATTGTGAGAGGTGAATTTGGACTTTTGGACCTAAATTTTTTTTTTTTTACTTACTATTTAAAGAAATTTTTGTTGGACTAAATTGTATTTTATTTTTTAAATATTTGGCTTTTGGGGGCCTTGCTCTACTGTTGAGCAGACAGTGCATAGGCTTACTATTTTTATTTTATATCATTAAATATTAATTTTTTAATATTACATCCTCAATATATTAAAAATATTATAACTTGACCCATCTATTAATTTCCGTTATTTATTTTATCAATGTCAATAGGGTGGATTTTGATGAAATAAGCAACGAACGTTAACAAAAGGGTTATTTTGTAACATTTGTAATACATTGAAAATATAATGACCGGTTTGAAGTTGACTTTTTTGAGCTTTTGAGTGTTTCCAAAAAAGTCGATTTTCCTTTGGAAGTCATTGGATAAGTTTTATTTTTCAATTTTTTCTTAGTACTAGTAAAAATTATTTTTACCCAAAAAACTGCCCAATAAATCTTGGTTTAAATAGTCCAAGCTTCTTTAAAAAAAAACTGAGATTTTAAATCAACTTCAAATATGTCCAATGCCTTCAAACACTAATATGAGATTAAAATTATCCATGCATATGAATATCTAACAATTAATTTGTGGGGAGAGAGAACTAAAAAAATATTGATTCCCTGTCTTTAATTTTCTAAACTTAAGTAGGGTGAAATGAGAATTTAGAGTTTTTTTTTTTTTGTTAATTTTAAAGAGTCCGTCACGCACCTCGGACTCCACAGCTTGAGAGGCATGGCAAATCTGGCGTGATTAATCCCAAAAGACTTGAAATATACCGTGGGGGAAAACCTGCATAGATATAACCGATGTTCAATTAAACATTTGTAGGATTCAAAGATAGTTTAAGTGGTAATAAAAAAAAATTATAAATTTAAATATTTTAAATTTGAATCTTAACAATCTCTTAAATGTTAGGTCATAAGGAATTTATTCATCATGAATACCCTAGTTTCGAAGTAGATAACCTATTTTTAACTAAATTGAGAAAAAAAATTAATCAAAATTTACGTAAATTAATTAAATCACTTTGAAAAAAAATTAAACACTTTTAGCATTTATGAGTCGTGTGTGTGGGTCAATGACCCTACAATTAAATGTAATTGATTGGACAGGCCTAATCTATGAGTAAATATTAAGTGCGATATAACAATCATATACTTTTTGAAAAATGTTACATAACTTAAACAAAAATACTATGTTAACCAAAATGAAGAACTAAATAAAGAGTTCAAATGACACGACAGTTGCTAATATGACAAGTTTAACTGTCATATCAACAAAATCTTTTCGTCTTCTCCAAATCAAGGATAGATGGGATAAAAAAATTTCGTCTTCTCCACTACCCTAACACAAAAATAGAGAAAAGAAATGACATGGCAATTAATCTTGTCATATTAGCAACTGCCATGTCATTTTGACTCTTTATTTAGTTCATAATTTTGGTCAGCATAGTATTACTGTTGTAACCTAAATGAAACATAAAAGTTAAAATTCAAATGTATATCATTCATTGGATAAGTATGGGATGAGTGAGCCCCACTGAAAAAATTGATGAGATCACTCATCCAAGAGATGATATGCATTTGAGTTACAACTTTTTGAATTTCATTTGAGTTTTGTAACACTTATCCAAGAGATGACGCATTAATTAAGTTAGTTTCGTTATATTGTATCTCGTGGAATTCGATATGTATGTACAAATATCCAGTTTGATTTTGATTTTATCTAAATTACATTTGTATGAATGAGTATTTGATAAAATTGAGGGTAAAGTGCCCCGTTAGTCCTTGAGGTTTGACACTTGTTGCACTTTTGTTCCCGATACTTTAATTTTGGCAATTTCATCCTCCATGTTACAACATTAACTTACTTTCGTCCTTAACCCTAACTGCCGTCCAAAAAAGTGACGAAAAATGGCACGTGAATGGCATGTGATGGAACAAGAAGGGCAATTTAGTCATTTAACGGCCCTTCTCGCCCATTTAACCTCTTCAGCTGTGTTGCAATAGCTAGCCCTAACTAACAATTGAACTATTCAACCACAAGCCAGGCTGAGGACGACGAAGATGGAGAGCAAAGGAGTAGTTAGCCGAAGGAAGAAGAAAATGGAACACATGTCTTGCTATTGTGGGACAGGGACAAAGATGTTTACTTCGTGGAGATATCAAAATCCCGGTAGGAGATTCCTTCGCTGCAAGAATCATAAGGTAACTTTCAATTGGGTTGTTTTGAATTACTTAATTTTTTCTAAGGTTGGGCAATATTTTTGTTGTCTGTTGTATGCAGCAAAGTGGAGGATGTGGATATTTTGAATGGTATGACCCTTCCATGTGTAACCAATTAAAGAACATCATTCTTGACTTGCTAGTGAGAATCAAAAGAATAAAAGCACAGTTGACAAGAATTCAACATAGAGAAAAGATGTTGGGGATCTTGCTAATTCTGACATGGATAGTGGTGTTGATGAATTGGAAGAACTCAGGCGTGAACAAGAACAAATAGAGTAATCCTACATCTTGTTATGAATTAGGAAATTAAGAATCTCATGTATTATTTGGTTAGTCCAGAAGTGTGTATTATTTATGTAATATGGTGTTTTGTTTAGTCTAGAAGAGTTTGTTTAGATGTGCAGAAGGGTGTGTTGTTTATGTAATTAAGAAAAGGCATTTGTGTCATTTAATTATGAATGAAGTTCTCTTGTTTCTTTTCCAAATACCTACTTATTTGTTTGATGGAATGTACTATGTAAAATAGAAGAATACAATAGGCAAAATAGTTGTACATAAACAAAAGAGTTGTTAATAGACAATGTTCAAGCTACCCAATTCTGTTACATTGTCTACAAAAACAACTATTGGAACAACTACTTCCAGTAGGACCCAAAATGTGGCATCTACATCTATTGGAACAACTACTTCCAGTAGGACCCAAAATGTGGCATCTACATCATTATCTGTATTATACCCCTTTCCCATTGGCCTTCACACCACCATTATCTAGATTCCCTCCATTCTTCCCTTTTTTTGCTATTGATTGAAGTGATGTAAAGGTTGTACAACTCTAACCTTTCCACAAGAATAGTGCTGGATTTGGAGTAGAACGAGGTGTTTTGAACTGTTGTGATGATGTTGGTGGGATAACATTTCTTTTAACTTGTAACTTCTCTCTCCTTTGTGACTGAACACCTTTTCCAACTTCAACACTTGCATTTGCAACATTTTCTTTGGTCACATCTATTGTATTAGTAGTTGTGTTTCCACTCCTATGCCCAACTCTCTATGTTGAAGCTGTGTTTCCACTCCTATTCACAACTCTCTGTGCAGAAGTTGGAGTAGTCCCATAAGTTTGAGCAGTTCCAAAAATTTGAGCAGTAGCATTCCCAGAAGTTTGAGCAATAGCAGTCCCAAAACTTGCCCTACAACTTCTTTTGTTGTGTCTTTTTTCACCACATTTGCCACACTTCAATGAAATCTAAAATTTTTTCAGTTTTGTGGGATTTGGATTGTGATTTGTTGGCTCATCTGGTTCTCTTCTTCTTAGTTTCTTTGGCTTGCTTGGCTGCTTGTAGTGAAATGGAGGTAAAGGAGGAACTTCATTTGACTTAACCCATAGCTTGGACCCATTTATTGGATGAATAATCTTCTCATAAGCCTTTAGGTAAGTGTCTTTCGTATACCAGTCATCCACAAAATCCTCAGGCTCATCTCTTTTGAAGGCAATTACCTGGATTGTATGTGAGCAAGGGATGCCAGTCAAATTCCATCTTCTACAAGCACAAGTATGTTCATTCACATCCACAACAAATTGATCTCCATAACAGTGCTTAATCTCAAATTGTGATCTTCCAGACCAATCACCAATGCAAAAATAAGCTTTTTTCTTATTCTTCTCTAAAATTCCCTAGATTTTAGGGCATATCTTACCCTCCCATGTTTTCATTATATCTCACTTTGCAAACAACCTCCTCATCAGTAAGTGTCTTATCCTCTCCAACATTGATATAATGGGTTTGTCTCTTGCCTCAATTATATAGGCATTGAATCATTCACTCATGTTATTCAGAAGTATGTCACACTTACATAATGTGCTAAAGTGTGACCTAGACCAATTCCTTGGATGTTTATCTTCAAACCAAGCAAATGCCTGTGAATCTTTATTTTTCATTTTCATCATATTTTCATGAAACTGGTTGACATAAGTTGATCTTACAGCAGCCCAAACCATGTCTTTTAGTGCCTTTTCCTTGTGTTTAATCTTGAAATTGTTGTGTAGATGTCTAACACAGTGCCTATGTTCAACATCAGGAAACAATTCATGAATGACATGTTCCAGTCTCTATACAAACACAAAAATCAGTTAGTTATGCTATAACAATTGTAAAACAAACATGTTTGACAAAATAATTATTTACCAGCATACCTTCTGTTTGTCAGACATTATAGTTCAATCATGTGTATTGGTTATTCTCAAATCTTCTACCAGAATAGTTAGAAACCATGTCCATGTGGTTGTGCCCTCCATCTCAGCCACACCATAGACAACTAGGTACATGCTATTATTACCATCTATACTAATTGCTGAGAATAGTTGTCCATTATGTGTACTTTTCAGATGACAACCATCCAAGCACACCACATGTTTGCATGCTTCCTTAATCCCCTCTTCAATGCATTTAAACATATGTACAATCTTTCAAACCTAAGTTCACATTCCATCTCAGACGCATCATCCATTTTCATTACTATAGTACTACCAGGGTTAGTCCTATTCAATTCATCACAGTAATCCCAGAGTTTAGCATTCTGCTCTACATGACTACCTTCAACAATCAATTTGCGTAGCTTTTTTCTTGCCCTGTAACATTGATCCCTTGAAAAACTCAATTGATGCTCCTTCATTGCCCTTTCTATAATTGCCTCAACAAACCAATTGGGATTCCCTCTAAAATTATCTAGGTAACTTTTGGCCAGCCAATTAGAATTTGCCATTGGGTTCTTATATGACCTGTCACATGTATAATTTCCATTGAATGATTTGACTTAGAATGTTTTGTTGTCATCCATAACAGATGCAAAAATCATCCACTTGCACTTTCTCTTGAAAACTGCTCTAACCCTTACATGATCATTTTTCTTAAAGGTTATTTGTTTTTCCTCCCTAATTGAATATTCCTTTACTGCTTCTTTGAATTCAGCAGGTGATTCAAAAAGCATCCCCAGCTTGAATATTGAATTATTCATATCAGTTTCAGCCCTAAACTCAGGGTACTTTGGCATTCTCTTTTTATTACTATCTTCATCTGATGAGGAACCATCTATTCTGCAACAATTCATCTGATGGTGCATCAACACCATCATTCTCAGCATCACCATGGTCTGCTGATTTCTTCTTTTCCACACCCTTTCCAATGTTAGTCACACTTGCTCATTCAACATCTATGTCAACATAAGTCTCAAACATTTTCTCATTTTTTTCTACATCATATTCACTGTTATGAAAATCAGATTAATCAGAAGTTTTATTATCTGTCTCGGCCCCAACTCTTTCATTATTTATGTCAGTCCCAACTGTTGTATTGTCCCCTCAACCTCAGCTCTTTCATTATCTATGTCACCCCCAATTGTTGCACTGTCTCTTTCAACCCCAACTCTTTCATTCTCTATGTCACCCCCAATTGTTGCACTATCTCTTTCAACCCCCAACTCTTTCATTCTCTATGTCATTCCTAATTGTTGCACTATTTCTTTCAACCTCAACTCTTTCCTTCTCTATGTTACCCCTAACTGCTGCACTGTCTCTTTCAATCCCAGCTCTTTCCTTCTCACCATACTCCAACAAATATGGTTGCTTATTATTTCATGTACTATATAAAATAGTTACTTAACATTTCTCTAAACCATTTAAATCTTTATCATTGATCTCCTCAATAATAACAGAATGCCTAATCCCAATATCTACATCATTTCTTACACCCTCTTCATCAAATACATCAAACAGTGATCTATGTTCAATGTATACATCAACAACTATGTTGGGATATAATCATGGTTTAAAGTTTCGTTTCGGAGATATGTTTCGGTGACTCTAAAAATAGAAACGTTTCGAAAACGCAAGGAAACGATGTATTTTGGTAGAAACGAATGGAAACTTATGAATGAAATTGGTTTTATGTTAATCAAGTTCTTATTTTGGTTTTTTTATCAATCCAATAAAGCAAGAAATAATAGAAAACATATAATTTACAAGAAATTTTTGTGGTTAGGCTAATTGAATATTATTAAACTTGAAGCAAGACGATTCACAATTGCAATATTTAACCAAATGATATTTATTTGTCATTTTAGAGAGGTTAATGTAATGTAATAGCTAATTTTCTGGCTTCATTTGCAGTCTGTTGTGGATGTAGCACTGATTTCTCAGTTAGTGGTGCTCTGCCTTTGACTCGTAGAATACTGCTGCAACAAGATCAATTTGGAATGCCTACTGCAAGACTGAAAAAGATGGTGATTTGTGATTCAAGGGCATGAAGTTGAAGCTGTAGGTAGTTTAGCTAACTGTTGGACAGAAGGCAGTCTGTACCATGTGACATGAAACGGATTCTTCTTTGTTGTGAAGACTGGGTTGGTGATGGAGTGAAATTTCAATATCATTGGTATTCTGCCATTTTTGGCAGATTATATTGCATCAGAATTTGTTTGCTGTGAATATTTTTCTCTTTTCTTAAAAAAAAAAAAAAGATATGTGACATCTGTGTAGATGGACTGAAATTTCAATATCATTGATATTCTGCTATTCTGGCAGATTGTAATTGCATCAAAATCTATCTACTATGAATATTTTTCTCTTTTCTTAAAAAAAAAAATGGAATTGTCATTCACACAAAAATCTGGAGTTTCATTCATAAAATTACAAATAATAATAATGCAAAAGCATAGAAACGTTAATGAGCCCCATTTAAATCTCATGCTTACTAAAGTAGTCATTCATCATCTGGCATTGATAAAAAATTCTAGCAATAACAGTAACACCATAAAATCAAAGCAATTAAAAGATGAATTCTAGAGTTTTAAAAAATAATAAGCATTGTTAAATTCCCCGATTTCACATATCATTATTATGACCCATGGAGCGACGACTACCATAATCTTGGTCTTGGGTGGCATGATCAAAATATTGCTCTTCAGTGAAATATACACTAGTTGGACTTTCTCCAATGTGATGTCGCTGCAAAGAACTAAAAGAATTATTATTTATCGGTTCACTAGTGAAACTACCATCTTTACCACCAACATCCTCATTGTTAATATTCTCATTGCTTCCAATACCACCAACATGGATACTATTAGACATCTATGAGGTAGAAACCAAAAGAATAACTCAAACTATTGAAAAAGGTTAAAGTGTCAGTTGAATCAACACAAATACCTTTATATGCCGTCGCCCTTCAACGAGATACACTACTGCTGAATCTTCTTGTTGTTCAATATGGTCTACTCCTTTCA